ATAATTTTAAATGGCCCTTACATACACCAGTATAAGTTTTTTAATAAAATGATGTTCCATATTTTTGTGGTTGTAAGCAATATAGTGGATTTTGGTAGAAAAAAGCAAAGAAATAAATAATTTTTTATTTCTGAGAGTCTTTTTTTACTGTCTGCCACTTTACAATAAATCAATTTTTTTAAATCTTTCTTCATAATCACACATTATTACATTCAAAAAAACTTTAAAAAACTATAACAAAGTAATGAAGAACCACCATTTTGTACCCTGATAGTATACCTTGCTGTCTCTAAAACTCATAACTTCTGTGTTTCTAATCTTTTACTTAAATAGTTAACTAATAACTCATTTTCTTGACCGCCCTAATCACTTACTTTTACCCCTTGATTTTTGTGACCCAAATCTTATCTCTGACACAAACTTGTGTTCAGTTTCTCTTTGTTCTCTTCTAGATAGTTCCTACCATTCTATGATCTCTAAAAATCTTTTATCTTATACTTCTTCGAACTTACCCTATCAATGTACTACATACTACTATCCTAAAGTTGACTACAATTCTTTTTATAATTTTCTTTGTGATGGTCCTTGGGCTGGTGTCTTTGATTTCCCAGCTGATAAATGCACCACCTCTTATTTTACCTTCTGGATCCAGGCAGGTATAGAAGCTTTTATACTTTCTCATTAGTTCTCAGTGGAGTTAGGTTTGACTTACTCTTATAAGTCAAACCTTATTCCACACCATGGTTTTTTTTTGTGCAGCTGCTATATAGTCATTTTTTTTCATATTTTTTTAAAAGGACGACTCTCTTTTTGGAACAAACAGATTTTTATTATCAAAAGAAATCATGTAAAAAGTTGCTTTCTGATGCTAAGATTCATTATTCCCAGTTTTGTAAATCTTCTACCTTATCTCAGAGGGTAAGCTCTAGAGACCTTTGGAAAATTTTCAACAGTATTATTAACAAAGGTAAGTCTAAAATTCCATCTTTAATTCATAGGTCTGATTTTATTATCTTTCCTAAGGATAAGTCAGAACCAAGACTTTAGACCTGCTTCAGAGCTGGACCCAGAGCTATCTTCAGTGTTTGCCCTGAGTTAGCTCAATCCTTGATATTTTGAATTATCAAAATGAGTATTTTTTGATATGAAAAAAAGTTTTATTTTAAATTAATCTGTCATTAAAAATGTCATTTAAAGCTTTATGATTTCTAAATGTAGCATTTTATAATATATTGTTATTAAATATTTTTCAGCTTTTAGATGGACTCACATAGAGGTTCAAGAAAAGCATTAGTCTGCAAAGAGCTAGTTAAGGTTATAAGATCAGTAGTAGTTAAGTACAAAAATGACATTACAAACTGTTTTAATGTCGATCCAAAATGTCTTCATATCCAAGTCAAACAGAAACAAGTAGCGAATGAAATAGTCAAGTTGCTGAAAGTCATCATTTTCAACACTATGCCACTGCAATAGTCTGTCCACTAGCTATGATTTTCAAAAAATTACTGGCTGAAGGCAGAGCTCCTTACCTATGGAAACTATTAAATTTGACTCCTATATTTAAAAATGGAAATCAAATGAAATGCTTGAACTACAGGCCAGTTTCTCTCACATTGGTACCCTGTAAGATAATGGAAAGAGAATTATGAAATGTTGTCTTAAAAAGAGGCTCTTCACGAAATCTCAACATAGATTTTTTTAATGACACAGCAATGACAACTTATTTACTAGAGGTTTGTGACATCTTAACGGAAGCACTATTTCATAAATATGCCATAGACCTGATTTACACAAACTAAAGCTTTTGACAAAGTACCATACAATGATTTCTTCTAAAACTTGATGCATATAGAATACATAGTCTAATCTTTTGAGTGAACAGTACGCATGACTTTACATTTGTCAAGGTTGAAAAACATAAGCTACTGCTTAGACCATTCAATTGCATGACCTGTGTCTAGTTGTAGTTTTATTGCATCATTTCCTGTTTTGATGACCCCTAAGATCTTACTGTCATCAGCATAAATCCTAATATGCACCATGTTTTCTAAATGATAATTTATTTAAATCAGAAGCAGAAGTGAACCTAACACTTGTGGAACTACACTATTGACATCAACCCATTCAGACTTGCTATTGCAGATAACCACTCTCTGTTTTTGTTTTTTTAACCAGTCAGTTACTCACTCCTGTTCTAAAGTCATTACTTAATTAAATTGTTCTACAGCTTGTGGTCTAAACAAAATTTCCTCAAAACCTCTCTAAGTATCAGCCAATTAGTCTATTTTTTATTGGTAGCAAGGTTTGAGCCTTTAATCAACAAATTCTAATGTCTTATCTTGAATCTAATGTCTTATCTTGTATCTAATAACCTACTCTCTGACTATTAATACTGTGATTAATAGCCAATAGCAAAACAAAGGCTATCTCTCTTGACATATCTTTACTGGATTTTTATAAAAACCCTGGGTTTTTATAAAAATCCAACTCAAATGGTTTTTTTAAAAACCTATCAAAATACCAAATTTTTATCATTGTATGTGTACAATATTTATTTTTTTTAATTTCATAAGTTCACCTCCCTATTGTTCAAGTGACCACTTTAGTCAAGGGAGCAACTCATTTTTAAAAATTGTTTTGTCTCAATCCTTAACATTACCATTTTTACTAACAAACACAATTATCAGTTAATATATTTAAACAAAGGCGCTGTGTGAGAAATAGATTGAGCACAGTAATTTCAGCAGAGGTAATTTGAACCCCAACCTTCTGATTGCGAGCCAAATGTTTTACCACTAATCTACTAGCACATAATACCTATAGTGCAAAAAGGGACTCCATCAACTATAAATTATGTTATTTAATTGCAATTAAAAACATGTTCAGATTATTTTTGACCAAAAAAAAAATCACTATATAAATTATTATGACAATTGAGTTATTCAAAGTTAGTAAGACAATATTAATGTTGCAAACTAGTTTTTTATACTAACATGCTCAATATATCATTTCAAAAACTAAGTTTACAACATGTAATTAACAAGTTTGCAATATGATGTTGCAACCTTGTAAATTATTGTCAATCAGGATGACTATAAACACACTGTTACATTTTACATCACTATTTTTTTTTTAACAGAATATTTTACTGTCCAGCTTCTTGAAAAATTATTGGTTTGATCAACATTATGCAGTAATTATCTTAATTTTCTTACTTTATATCATATTAGTATTTTTAAAATAGTAAGATTAGCTTTCATCGGTAAGCCAAGATTTTGGGCTTCCATCATCAATCAACAATCTTTATAAGAATGATCAGAAACAGGAAGTTCAGCTAATCTAACATGGGTATTTAGAACTTGAATAATGTAACAAATATTTAAAATATTTCTTTATACAATATTACATAAAATAATTTAGCAATTATATCCAAATGTTTAAGATTAAAGAGTAATGATTAGTCAATTCGTGATTATATCATAATCACAAATTGATAATGTTTCATAATGTTTTTATTTTTTAGATTATGGGGAGATTGGTTTTTGCAAATGGATTTGTGCCTAAGCTTTGATTGTTCTTGAAATATCTAAAATGAATTTGTTAATAACCATTACAGTGTCTTCACCACCATATTCTTTTTTTTTACTTGAAGATGTTTTACCAGCTCAGTTTTGCAACTAAATCAAAGTAACACAATATATAGCCCTATTGCGTGTGTTTCTTCACCTTTTAGCAAACTTGGTACTGATGTTCATTTTCAACCCGCTGTTCATAGTGACCCCTGTTGACGGTACATATTGTAAACTTGTAGCTAATGCAAAATATTCAAAACCTGTAAAATAGACAGATGAGCATTTTTACCAAAAAATCTTGTCCTCGTGAACTGTATACAAGTTTTCAACATGTTCTCTCATTGAATAAAACTTGCTTGCACATAATATAATTTTTTTTATGTTTTAAAGTTGTTTGCACTTAATAAGGACAAGTCTAGTAAACTGTATTATTATTATTTTTTTTTGCGTGACAACTTTCCATTTCTAGATTGTGAATAAGATTTAATAATTTTTATATATAGTGTTTTGCTTGTGGCTTTGTACTGAAATTTACAGTTTACAACATAAGCTTTAAATAATAAAAAATCAAATACCAATATAAAATGACATCTATAGAACGCTTGTTTGGAAATATAGACATTCGAGAGGAGAATAAAGATACTAAAAAACTAGTAATGTCTTGTACTTTGAAATTTAGTTAATAGAATAATTTTTATTTCCTTTATAAGTATTTAACTAATTTAATGTTTCAATACATATTTAAATAATATTTATACTAACTTGCTATATGTTTAAAATAATAATAAACAACCAACTTGCTACAAAAACAGATTGATTGGTTTTGGATATATTCTAAATACCATTTTGTATATAAATACAGTGTTTACAAGAGTAATTACAGCATAAAAGTTGCACTTGCTGATAATAGAACATTTATAAGCGTTAAAATCAGAGTTCTCAGTTGTAAAATAGGACATTTTTAAAAAACCCAAATATGCTTTGGGTTTTTTTGGGTTTTATAAGGTTTTTTGAAGGTGGGTTTTTTTGGGTTGGGTTTTTTTGCCAACTTTGTATCTTTATATATATATATTATCTTTATATATATATATATATATATATATATATATATATATATATATATATATATATATATATATATATATATATATATATATATATATATTATATATATATATATATATATATATATATATATATATATATATATATATATATATATATATATATATATATATATATATACATATATATATATATATATATATATATATATATATATATATATATATATATATATATATATATATATATATATATATATATATATATATATATATATATATATATATATATATATATATATATATATATATATATATATATATATAAGCAAGATCTAGCATTAAAAATAATTTATTTTTAATTTTAGATTACTATAATAGTTTTAGTAGTACAAAGTATGGCTGTTTATTTTGATTATAAAATTTTACCACATTATGAAGACAGCCATTGCAGCCTTACGTCTTGGCATAGTAACTTTCCTCTGCTTGCTGTTGGATTTGTTAGAGACTCCATGGGGTATGTGGCGCTTTATTTAGATGAGGTATGTAATATTTTTATAGTTGTTTAACTTTAGTTAAAATAACAGAAAGGAGTTTTAAAGAATCAAAATAAGTTTAAAAAATTATTTTAAAAATACTATGCATTATGATAATAAATTAATTAATAAAAATTCATTAAAAAAAGCAAATAAAAAGAATAATTATGAAGCGGAAGTGTATTTTAAGTTTGCATCATATTCCATAGAGTAGTACAGTAAATTGTTTTCTATGTTAGGCAACCTTTTCAGGATTGTTTTTTTGAGTTAAATAGTGCCACATATAATTTTTTTTTTTTTATTGTAGTTTAAATTTACTAATTATCAGGTTGTTAGCCAGCCTAATGGCACCGCATATAACGCAGAATTCCCAATTGGTTTAAAATTCCAAATGGTTCAAAAAAACCTTTATCAGGTTCATGTTAACGATGTTACGTTAGACTTGTAAAAAACGTAATGCACAACAAAGAAATGAATTAAGTTGTTTGAGAATAATGTTTTTTTTTTTTTTTAATGTGAAATAAAGCATTGTCATTAACAAGCAAGGTCATTCATATATAAGTTAAAATAAAATTTTATTTTTTAATTGACGTCAGCTATTCTTTATTTTAGATTTTTAATAAATTTTTATTTTTATTTATTCTTATTATTAAAAAACTCTTTATTTACATATTTACTGTTTATCTTAAGTTAAGGAAAGATACAAAAATCTTTATATATACTTTAAAAAAAGTTAAGGTTTTTTCATAAGGGAATATATACTTTCGGTAAACTTTTATACTTTCGGTAAACTTTTATGTAAATTTGCTGGTAACACCAGCAAATTTAGTTTACCGAAAGTATCAAAAATAAAACTTGCAATGAAATTTACCATTAATGTTATATTTGCGTGCAACATTAAAAAAAATCAAAAACAAAACTTGCAATGAAACTTACCATTAATGTTATATTTCCGTGCAACATAAAAGAGAATATTTAAATCTATATAAATTTTTATAATTTTTTTAAAATTTTATTTAAAAATACTAAAGTTTAATTTACAAAAAGCAAAATTTGTAAATACAAAAGTTATTATTATTTTTTTTAAAATTTACAAATACAAAATTTACTAGATATGAAAATTTGCCACTTGAATTTATTTGCTGTCCTTGTGCAGTAAATAAATCTCACTCTGACCCTTAGATCCCTTTGTTGTTTAAATTAATTCTAAAATAGCATATTGCAGCGAAAGTTCTAGTAACTAACATATTTACCCGAAATTGGCAAGCCAAGCAAGTTACTCATCTAAAAGCTATCGCACTATCGGTTAAAATAAATTTTTTTATTTATCCCTGTTGACATTTTTAAACCCTTAAATATCATATTTAATGCAATTTTAAATCACTAAAAATTTATCTGAAAATACATAAAATTTTTGTTTAATGTTAAATTTATAATATAAAATTTTTGTTTAATGTTAAATTTATAATATAAAATTTTTGTTTAATGTTAAATTTATAATATAAAATTTTTGTTTAATGTTGAATTTATAAAATGAATTAAAATATGAATATCTGTTAAAGAGTTCATAAAATTTTTTCAAAAAATATTTTAAAGTTTTTATTTTCAAAATACTTAAGTAGGGGAAGTTGTTTTTCCTAGAGCCGGATTTTTTCAATGCCAAAAATTAAAGGCCCCAGATTTGTCTAAAAACGGTGAAACTGATATGATCACTTCTTTATACTAATTACTTTACTTAATTGCAACACTTAAATAATTAACTAAATTGACTAATAGTTTTGAGCAAAATTGAAAAATAAGTCTACGGGTAAATTGGTAGTCCCAAAATAACTACAAAAAAAAAAAAAGAATTCTTCACCAAACAAAATTCAACAATTAACCTTGATATCAATTAAATTCTTTACACCTATATAGCCCTAAGTACAAGCAAATTATATGGCCTTAGGTACAAGAAATGATAGCCTCATGAAAAGTTTCAGCTATTAATGAACCCTGATTGAGAAGAAGTATATTGAAAAATGCATTTAGTACTTAAGTAACAAACAATATAATATACAAGAACATATAGAAACGTATAAAAAATTTCCTCTAGAATTGTAAAACAATATAAGATAATAACAGCAAAAATTTACTTTGGACATCAAAAGACATTTTCCGATTTTAACTCGCCGTAGCAATGCTCTCTGAGAATTAAAATATGATAAAAAATCAAAATTTTTTGTAACTAATTATCTGACTGAAAAGCATTACTTAGAACTTTATAGTTTTCAAATGAAGTGGGGTGGCCCTAGATAAAAGAGGCCCAAAATACACAACCTTCCTTTATTTAAAAATATATAAATTAAAAAACTTTCCATACAATATATAGTTTTTTTAGATTTATAATATAAAAATGAAAATAAATATAAAAGAAGAAAATATATGTATATAATCATTTAAATTTTTTAAAACTGTATTTAAAAGTAGTATTCATGACTAAAATAAATCAAAGTATCAAATTGATTCATTCAAAGTTTAATTGCAAATGATTTTCATTCTCCTTTCTTCTCTACTATATCACACAAAGAAGAGGTGCTGTATAAATATGATAAAGCTTAAGAAGATTGTTAAAAATGAAATAAGTTAAGTTTTTTTTAGCTTTTCAAATTTGACCGTAGCTAGTCCACAAAACCTAAATTATGAATATAAGGAAAACCCTGTATATAACCCTGTAACCCTGAAAGGTTAACCCTGTATAAGATTTTTAAGAAAGGTTAATACTCTGATCATATGTGTACTGGAGATGTTCTATTAACACTGGCAAGTAACATTTTTGTTGTTGCCTTGGTGACTATTTAAGTTACTTAAATTCAGCTTTTGGAATTAGGGTTGGCATTAGGCAATGCCAGCCTAATGCTAACCTAAAAGTGTTTGAGGTTGATAAAGAATCTCTGACCTCGCTTCTATGTCTTATTAAAAAATCAGGTCTGAAAGGGTTGGACTTTGTGGGAATTTTTTTTTTTTTATCATTACTTAAAATTTGAGTTACGTTTACGTCCTTTATGAGTTACGTTTTGCAAAGCTTTGTTCATTTTTGACCTCTAGCCTTTTATCACAAAATGGTAACTTTTTAGTAACAAGTCTCATATGAGTTGTCTCAAAACCACTAACACCTCTTCTAGAGTGTGATGGTCCCTTACTTGTGTTTTTACTAAATTTAGTAATTGATTCTTTAATTGTATGAATATATATATTTTTTAAATTTGGTTTTAGGAAAATGAAATTGATTATTAATTTAAAAATTATAAAAAATTGGTTTAAAACATATTAAATTTAAAAGGGTGAACACATTGAGAATTCGAAAATTGAAAGAGAATTTACAGTCAGTAAACTTTCATGGCATCCACATCGCAAAATTCTTGCAAGCGGATGGAAAAATGGTTGTCTTATTATATGGAATGAACATGCCAAAGAATGGAATGAAGCTCCAAAGTTTCATTTAACTGAGATTACTTGTATATGGTGGAATCGAACAGGATCTAGACTCATAACATCAGACCAGGTGTGTTTTAATACTTTTCAATATTATGTGTAAGTCCACATTTAATTGATGTTCTCACAACGTCCACATTTAATTTGAAACTTTTTTAAACTTTTTTAAATTTTTAAAAAGTTTTTTCTTATTATTTTTATTTTCAAATTAATGTAGGCTGGTTTAGTGTGTGTTTGGAAAATTGATCAGCGAGGCAAGTTTCAACAGTCTCCCATGTTTAAAAACGAGTTACGATCTAGTGTTGTTAGTGGTGTACTAAAAGTATCTGTGGGTTTGGATGTTTCAATGTAAGTTAAAAGCTTTTTTATATATTAGGGTAAAAATATATGAAATCATCCAGACCATGACACCCTTACGTCTCAGAATTTGTTTATTTTTACACCACTTACAGTCCATATCAAAAAAATAATAACTGAGAAAATTTTAGTTAAAAATACCAATGGGTTCCATAGACATTGTCACTTGAAATAATGCTGACTCAGCATTTTAGTGATTTTCTGAAGCGACTACAAAGCAACTTTGACATATAGTATCTTCATAATGGCTTGAGGAAATTTCCTAAAATTTGGAACTCTAATAGATTTTAACTTGAGGAATCCAAAAATAGCACTCTTAAGACTCGATTATCTCAAGAAATGCCTCATTTATCCAATTTTGTTCAAAATTATTGACTTGTAAATTAGTGATTTTTGGAGGTAAAATAAAGACTGTGGCCCAAAATCCTGAGTAAAAATTTTAATTGTATATCATTATTTCATCTTAGGTCTACTGAAAAAAATTAGATTCAAAATTAGAATTGTCTCTCTAATATGTGATCAAAATTTGCATTTAAAAATGGTGTCTTTTTAGAAAAATTTAATTTTTGTAACAAAAGCAATTAAAATATTTTTTAAAACATTTATTTGAATAAAACATCAAATAGTGTCATTTATTGAATAGTTTAGGACATTTATAGTCATGGGCCAAGGGAGATACCCTCCACTCCCACGGGAGGCCCCTACGCCCCCTCCCCCAATCTCCCTAGATTTTTTTTTTTTTTTTTTTTTTTTTGCATAAAATGAATAAATAATGCAAAAACATACAATTTAATTTTAATTTTGAAAAAAAAAATTTCATTATTTCAAATTGGTGACTTAAAACCTCCTTTTATATAAAAAACAAACATAAGTTTTGTTTTGTTCTTTTTAAAGGTATTTACTTGTTTGTATTTTCTTAAAAAATTACTTTTAATTTTATAATTTCTATATAATTTTGTTAGGTAATAAATAATAAAAATAATTAATATGGAGAAATGTGACATTGGAAAAAGTCTTAACATTGATTGCCACAAAACTGGATTTTCAAGAAAACAAGGTTTTGTTCAATTTAAAGATTTTCCTTGTGAAAAACAAGAAGAAATAATATGGCGAGCAAATTTAAAGGAAAAATATAGTTCAATAAGAATTTTATGTTGTTATCATGAGCAATTCTATGGAAAATATTTTTAGAGAAATATTTCTAGAGAAATATATTTAGAGAAAATATTTCTAGAGAAAAATTACAAAGTGTTGCAATCCTTTTGGAATACACAAGGAAAGTAAAAAAATTGCTATAAAAGGTAATCTTACCTTATTTACAACAGAATTGATATGGAAATTAAAAGAAAACAATTTATTATTTATAAAAAGTTTTGGTAGTTTCAGTTATTTTAACAACGTAAAAGTAAATTTGTTTTTTAGGTAATATAAAGATTTTCATAGACATGGCAAACTATTTGCAAAAGAATAATGTTTATGTAACCCCAGGTTGGAAATTCTGCAGTAATTATTACAAAAAAGCAATAGAAACTGATTAAGATTTAAATTCACAGGAAGAATGGGAATCAAAAAGTGAGAAAAAAATTAAGTTAGATACCACTATAGAATTGCTTGGAATCTCACCGGTCAAACTAAAAAGTCTTTCAAAACACAGCAAATTGCCTGTAGCAAAACAAAAGTTTGAGAACACTATTGACAGAGTTGCAAAAATGGTCTCATTAGCATATAATATTAAAGAAACTTTTTTAACAACAGAAATAAAAAGCCCCATTTTAAACAACAACATTAACAATGACCATGATCTAGACATTTTAATGTATGAAATAAAAAATAAAATTTCAGAGACTGACTCTTATCGCCATAAGGTGCAAATGTTAACACTCGCACCAAAATCATGGACACGTAAAAAGATATCAAGCTACTTTGAAGTGTCTGAGTATCTTGTTCGAACAGCAAGAAAAGTTAAAAATGAGAATGGAATTCTATCATTACCCGGGAAAAAAACTGGAAACCCACTTTCACCAGAAACAGTTAATTTAGTGATTAACTTTTATCAAAGTGATGAATTTTCAAGAATGATGCCAGGAAAAAAAGATTATGTAAGTATTAAGAAAAATCAACATGTTCAAAAAAGTTTATTGCTACTCAATCTTAATGAATTACATGTTGCATTTAAAAAAGACTACCCTAACGTCAAAGTCAGTTTGTCAAAGTTTTGTACTCTTAAACCTAAATGGTGCATTACAACTAATGCGTCAGGTACCCACAATGTATGTGTTTGCATACATCACCAAAATACAAAATTTCTCATTGATGCCATTAGATGGAATAAAAGTTATAAAGATTTCATGGCATTGATTGTTTGCTCTCTTGAAAATGCAGAATGTATGTTGCATCGATGTAACCAATGTCTTGGTATTGAAGCGTCAAAAAGTTTTTTAGTGCAAGAGTTTATGGACCATGAGCATGAAGAAGATGTAGTATTTAAGCAATGGCAGAGTACAGATCGTACAACACTACTTTCACAGTCATTGCCACTAGATGAATTTATTGATTTATTATGTGACAGTATTGACAACCTTACCACTCATTCATATATTGCAAAAACACAATTTAGATACTTAAAAAACTGTAAAGAAAATCTTAACCAAAATGAATGCTTAATTTTAGGAGATTTTGCTGAAAACTATCAATATGTTTTTTAGGATGAGGTTCAAAGTTATCACTGGAGCAAAAGTCAATGTTCACTTTATACAGTTGTACTTTATTTTATAGAGAACAAACTTCTCAAACATAAATCTTTGTGTTACCTTTCAGAAGATGTTGATCATGACACAGGATTTATTTACAAGACTCAGGAAGATATAACTAGATATATCAAAGAAAATCTACCTGATGTATCAAGTGTGAAATACTTTTCTGATGGTTGTGCAGCACAATTTAAAAATTTTAAAAATTTTATCAATCTTTGTCATCACAGTAAAGACTTTGATTTAAATGCTGAATGGGTATTTTTTGCTACCAGTCATGGTAAATCCCCCTGTGATGGTATTGGTGGGACTGTTAAAAGAGTAGTATGCCAAGAAAGTCTAAAACAAATAACTACTGGGCAGATTTTAGATGTTAATTTAATGTACTCCTTTTGTAAAGCCAAGATAAATGGAATTTATTTTAAGTTATTTTCTAAAGAAGAAATTGATCAAACACGAGCACAATTAAAAAAAAGATATTTAGGTGGAAAAACAGTTCCTGGCACAAGGATGTATCATCATTTTATTCCAATTGCTCCAAACACTATAAGTTATAAAAAAATAAGTATTGATGCATGCACTGAAATATTTGATATCATTCCAAAAAGCAAACATTATGCAGATATTTCATTAAATATTAAAAAAATGGATTATATTGCATGTTTTTATGATGGATTTTGGTGGGTAGGGATTGCTGAAGATGTAAGTGAGCTTGATATAAAAGTCAGATTCATGCATCCACATGGACCAGGTAAAAACTTCTTTTGGCCAATAAGAACTGATGAGTGTTGGGTGCTCAATTCTGAAGTTATATGCCTAATTTCTACACCCACAACAATATCAGGTCGTACATACAACATAACTGATTTAGATTTGGAGAATATAAGCTGTTGGTTACAAAAAAAAATTAATTATGCTTAAAATAATTTTGTTTTTATTTTATTTACCTAATTTGTATTTTAAATGTCTTTTATTTTTTTCAAATCCTTGGATTGTAGGCTGAGAAGGAGGGGTGGGGGTTTTAATAAATCACAAATCACTCCCATCTTATTATGTCAATGACTATATTAGTCTAAAACTACATAAAGATATTTATTGTCAATATGTTTTAAAAATATTTTAAAACGTTTCTTTTTGAAATTTATGACTTTAAAATCGTAAAAAGATCTTTGAAATAAGAGTATTTATCGATTTGAAGTAACGCAAATAAATCGTTTCTCAAACTTAAACTGAAAAAATATGGGCAGAGGGCCTCCCGTGGGTAGGGAGGGCATCTCCCTTGGCCCATGACTTTAAATGTTTATTTAAATTTAAACTAGTCAATAAATAACACTATTTAGTGTTTTATTCAAATAAATGTTTAAAAAATATTTTAATTGCTTTTGTTAATTTAAATTTTTCTAAAAAGACACCATTTTTAAATGCAAATTTTGATCATGTAATAGAGACAATTGATGAATCTAATTTTTTTCAGTAGACCTAAGATGAAATAATGATATACAATTAAAATTTTTACTCGGGATTTTGGGCCACAGTCTTTATTTTACCTCCAAAAATCACTAACTTACAAGTCAATAATTTTGAACAAAATTGGATAAATGAGGCATTTCTTGAGATAATCGAGTCTTAAGAGTGCTATTTTTGGATTCCTCAAGTTAAAATCTATTAGAGTACCAAATTTTAGGAAATTTCCCCAAGCCATTATGAAGATACTATATGTCAAAGTTGCTTTGTAGTCGCTTCAGAAAATCACTAAAATGCTGAGTCAGCATTATTTCAAGTGACAATGTCTATAAAACCCATTGGTATTTTTAACTAAAATTTTCTCAGTTATTATTTTTTTGATATGGACTGCAAGTGGTGTAAAAATAAACAAATTCTGAGATGTAAGGGTGTCAAAAGTTATTTTTTTTGGATGATTTCATATATTTTTACCCATTAGTAACATTTGGTTTGGCATAACTTATATAATTTTTTTTGTTGAGATTATTATTCGCTTGTTTACATACATACATACATACATACATACATACATACATACATACATACATACATACATACATACATACATACATACATACATACATACATACATACATACATACATACATATACATACATACATACATACATACATACATAAACATACATACATACATACATACATACATACATAAATACATACATACATACATACATACATACATACATACATACATACATACATACATACATACATAC